CCGCCCCAGCCGCCCCGGCTCCCGTAGCTCCCGCTGCACCCTCCGGCCCCCGAACCCCCGCGTCCCGTCGCCCGCAGCCCGCGTCCCAGCGCGCCGGGTTCCCTGATCTCTGGCCCCCAGTTCGCCGGCTCCTGGCCCCTGACCCCCTGCGGCTCTCACGGGACGATCGAGTCCCGCGATTCCGGCCCATCAACTACAGCCTGCCGGGACTCCAGTCTTCAGTCCCCCAGTCCCTCCCAGATCTCCCACCGGACCCCAGTTCTCAGAGCCCCTCGTGTCTCAGTCCCTCCTAACGCCTAGCCCCCTGCGCCCCAGATCCCTCATTCCCACTGCCCAGCCCTTGTCCCAGGTCACACCAGTCTCCACAGACACGGTGTGCTGTCCACACACTCAGCTTGCTGACCCCTGAGCCCCGGGTCCCGGTAACTCCCCGGACATCTCATCTCTTTGTCTTCCCTCCCTCTTATGCCCTCATCCCCTGTCCCCAGTGAGTAGATGTCCCTGTCACCAGTGGGTCCTGGTCACTCTTGTTTCCCTCTTTGCTTCTTGCATTTAATTTTTTTTTGGGGGGTGGTCTAGCCTCTTCCATTTCTTTTTCTAGTTCATTTGAGGTCTGTCTTGTCCGGTGTTGCAACCCTTCTCTTCGCCTGCAGTGCCGAGTCCATCTGGAGATTGTGGCTTTGCCCTCCCACTGCACCCCTTTTCCCCAGGGGCTGGGTGGCTGGGAGGTTGAGGGAGCTTGTGGGCAATGTTTGTGAAGTTCAGCCCCTAGACTTGGTTGCACGTTCTCGGTCCCTTCTCTGAAGAGATCTGGTGTTTTGATGCTAAGTCATTCCTGGGTATTGTATGTGGAGGTGGGAGTGACTCAGGGAAGCCTCTCAACTGCCGGACTGGGATGAGCTTGGGTTTGAGGTCCCGCCTACCTCCTGCCTCTTCCCCTCACTGTGACATTGCCTCTGAAGGATTTTTGCACCCAGCAGTCCAACCCTGTCTTTCTACCCTGGCATTTCTGAGGTTGGTCAGGGAGCAAGGCCTTTCTAACCTTGAGGTTAATGTTGGGGGTCACTTTACTAGTTGTGTGCTTTTTGTTTTTGTTGTCCAAGAGCAAGATTTGTGAAATAGGTGATTGGAATGACAGAGTTGGGGAAAGGGTTTGAGAGCTAGTCCAACTTAGTTGTCAAACTGAGTGATTTTTGGGTCTCAACTTTCTGGTTCATAAACATGAGTAGCAGCACAACACAGATGTGGGAGTAATATCCTCCCCCCCCTGGGGAGGGGATTAATATGTGTAATGGGGTATAGAGGGGTATCAGAGCAGGCCCTGGACTCAGGGAGCTGCGTCACTGAGAGCAAGTTACTTGACTGAACTGGGAATCCCAACAAAGAGGGATAAATTATTGTACCTGTCTCCTAGGCTTGTTGCAATGCCTAATCAATCATTACTTAGGTAAAGCCTCTGGTACTGTGCCACTCACATGGTAGGTGAACTGATTTTGTTGTTTCTGTAAGGACCCAGAAAGCAGGTGGGGTTGTTTCCTGGCCCAGCTCTGGGGCCAGGGGTGGGGTTACGCTGTCCCTGGAAGTCTCTTTATTTTAATGTGACCAAGAAGTCTCCCTCATGAGCTCACTGCTCTGGACCACTCTCACTTCTGCCTTCATTGCCAGAAACAGTGAAATCGACAAGCCCAAGGAAATGGATGAGCTTATGTTTCAGGGAACAATCCAATATCAAAGCTCAGAAAGTTTTAAGTTAAAAAACATCATTAGGTCCAAAATGACAAAAGGAGCCAACAAATGGCTTTTTAAGGAGAAAGCACTAAGGATGAAAGCCTTCTTTTGCAGAGACTGTCATTTAGGCAGAAAAAGTGGTTGCTGAGGATAGAAGGGAATGTCCAAGGTATTTTCAATCGTTTCTTGAAAACACAGTTGGAGTGGGGTTTTTCCACCTGTGGGATTGGTGATTAGCTCACAAAGCAATAATGTGGCATGG